TTCTTTTAACTAACATTTAAAAAAAATTATTTCTATCAATCTTATTATAAGTTAATGTTTCCTTGGTTCAACTATGAATAATTGAAAACCCAACATTTTTTTACAGCTATTGGAGTATATAACTTGTATACTCTAATAATACTTGATATAAGAATATTATTTTTTAAGATGATGAAAAAGTGTTTATTATACATAATTTTCAAATGTATTGCACTCGTAGGTAGTTTTTTTTATTGATTTATTGATGGCAATTCGCAATTGAATACACATAATTTTTAGTTTGTTTTATGGATAATGCATTTATTAATCAAAAAACCCGAAAGTGAGTATGGGTTATCAGTTTATCATATATACAATGGTACCTTATTTAAATTCTAACGTTAGAAAATATAGAACAAGAAACTCCAGTTGTTCATGAAATATGAGATATATTAACAGTTAAGGTACTAACTGGTTATTCAAACCAACGTGTTTCTTTTCGTTTTCTAAATTCGATTTTATTGATTTTTTAGCAAAGTTTACAACACTTTTATCATTTGATACTATTTCTACTTAATGGGATTTATTTAGTTTTTTATATCAATATATAAGAAATATAGTAATGGATCGCTTGTAATCATTTATGTCGTAATTATTGCAATTAGATTGTCAGACGTTGTAAATATAAATATTAACAATGGGTATTTTACAAATTAAAACAATACCTACATTTGAATGCAAAGATGTACAAATACAAAAATCGAATACAATAATATAAATAAATATTGTGAATACAATGTTTGACAAATGCATTTCCCTTGAAATTATTAAAATGAAGGACTTATCGTTTTTTCGACGTCGCTCCTTTTACTGACTCATTTCGTCGGTGTTACACTATTGTGTAATGGTACATTGGTACGGAAAAAAAACATATACAATAATGCATGATGGTTTCACCCATGACACAACTTTAAGGAATCAGGTCAAGTTGATTTGACATATCACATATACCAGTTATTACCAATTCCATAGTACTTATTCATTGTTGTTCCTCTCGTAATCATAATAATTAAAAACTTGAGATTTTTATTATAGATCCCTGTTAATTGGTCGCGTGTGGTTCATGTACTCGTCATGTTATTATATGGCCTCTGTTTGGACGACAGGCAACCAGAGCACACGGGCTTGATGTCATAAATTCAGATTTATTGTCTCGTCTGGCTTTCGCTTCAGCCCGAAACAAAAGGGCAACCATTAAAAAACATAAAAGGAGTAAAAAACCGCGACAAGTGGGTCAATTATTATTGTTTAAGTATTTGAATACTCGCGTCTGTCGGTCGTTAAATATTTCCGGGTGTTCCAGACATTTAGTTAACTAGTGTATAGTTAATGTTAGTGTTAGTACTAGTGTTAAGGAGTATCGACTGTTCCAAGGGGACCGCCTCCGATTTACTGAAGAGTCCTTATTATGAATCTATAAACATTGCAGGATGCGTAAATAATAAAAGAAATTTTTCTTTTTTCCCTTTTTCACTAATCAAATATGTCATTTAGTCAGAATTGGGTTGCATACATTTTTAATACACAATTTATAGTATAATTTATACTTATTAATATTTCTATAATTATCCTAAAATAATAAATTTCTTAAAAATGTAATGTTATTATTAAAATTGTAAAACTTTTATATAAATTGTTACTATATACTATTGCAGACATATAGTTTGGGTATATTTAAATTTAAATTGTTAAGTCAACAAAAGCAAATATTAAATTGTAAGTAAATAAATGCATTACCTTAAGTACCTTAGGTAAACTAAATTAAACAAAAGTCTTTTTTCTATTTTTAATTCTAAAATTGCCGTTCAGTTATAAAATTAATAAATAATAACTCTTTTTGTTCTTGCAATTTTGAAAATATTTTTTGTTTAAAATTTTAAGGATACCCATAAAATAATAATTAAAGAAATTAATATTAGTATGTAAGAGATAAAATCATATGGTTTTAGCATAGTTAGGATACCCAATTCAAAAATATAAAAAAAATAAACATCTAAAAATGTATTACCTATCCAACATTAATTAAATGACTATGGGATTGTGTCCTTGTACTTTTCTTGAATTTATTCATTACTCAATAGAATATATTATATTAAATACAATATTATGTAATTTTATTTTATTTTGTATTTAAATTTAATAACAACGAAAACATATTTTTAAATAATTTTAAACCCGATTACTTTGTAATCTTAAAATACTGTTAAAAATGGCTCAATTTTGTGGTAAGCTCAGTAAAAAACTATGAAATATAACTGTATAAAATGACCTAGTGTCTCCAAGAGTAAGAAATCAATATATCACTTGAAACAATGCGCCAATACATTTCTGTTAAACGAATCATTACCCCTGTGAGAATATTTGATGCGTTATTACGTCGGACATGATTGACCATTGTTTTTGAATGTGCAACTGCCAAAAAAATATACATACCAGCATACCGCCACTCGTCTCCCTCGAATGAGTTCAATCATAATGAATTACTTGAAGACGACTCGCCGCCCAGTATGAGTACAGTTTTACATAACGGGCTATATTTTTTATAATTTATTTTTTTTATTTTTGCGTGCTCTTTTAACGGGAAGTCCGCGACATGACCGGAAGACAATTTAATGGACCAAATCATAACGTTCTGCTGAAGGATGTAAAACCATAATGGGTGAAATTAGTACTGGACTTTGTTATGTTGTCACTTGTCAGTTGTCAGATAATACAACTAGAGAAATGCGCCAACCACACTACAATAATCTGTAATCTTATTGGTCCTCTACGAAACGAATTGTATTTTAGTTATACAATTATATTCGGCTATCGAGACTACCTCGTATAATTAAAATATGTCAAGCCTACTTTTAAGTTCAAATATATAATTTTATCAATTTAATACCTACCTATAATTAATTACTTAAAATTTTATTTTTTAAAAATGTAATTTTATATTTTTTAATGTTTTCATACATTTCTATAAATTTGTTACATAAAGTAATACAAATAATAAGAGAACCGTGTCCAATATTTTAGATTTAGAGAGCAAAATACACCGAGAAGAATTATATTTTGACAAACAAGGAATAATGATTGGGTTTATTCAATTGAATATTATACTAAAAAAGTAAAAACAGGTACCACCTACCTATATAATTTATTATGTACACAATTTAAAATATTTTGTATAAACATTTGAATTAATGAACTCAATTCGTGATGCGCCAAAAAGACTCACACGGTTGAATGCACCACTTGCTTATAATTCTGGGTTATTGAAAAAAACATAAACATTAGTTTGCATACTATTCTGATAAAATGTAAGCTATAACGTTGCAGATATTTTATGGATTATGAATAAGAACCAACTGGATTCAGATGCAAATTTATTATTATTATATATTTTAGGCGACACATGCTAACCACTCAAATTGTAAAAAAATGCATTAGATTTAAATAATAAGTAAGGTATCAGAATTAAAAAAGTAATTTCGAAAATTGAATACAAATTATAAATCAAATGAAACTAGGTTTTTCAATTAATTTTTTTTTAAATTTGTATCTACAATACAAATAAACATTTATTAAAGTTTATAATTAAGGCATGTATCTACGCATAACATTTTAGTGATTTGTATTATTATAATTTATAATATTTATATAATACACCGATTTTGGTAGTCAAAATCAAACGTTTTTCGAGCTGTATTAAGATCAATTATATATAGGTAGCGCTTGCAATGTGATAGTTGAAATTTGAAAAAAGGATTTTTAAATTAATATTCAAATTGTATTGTTACTATAATAATTGTATAAAAAATTTTTATTTTAAAATGTATTATAAGGTAAACAATTTTAACTTAAATTTAAATAAGTATTTGTTAAATTTATTGTAATTAGTATTAAAAATTAATATGATTTTTGTATTTTAATTTACTGTAATGGATCGCATGGTCTACCTCAAACATATTTTCAACCCGAGTGTAGTAGTAAAAAATTGTTTTATTTTAGAGGTGTAAGTGTATCATTGCAGCGGCGCATCGAAAAACAAAAGGTCCCACAAAAAATAATTTCTATCAAATTGAATTTTATAAAAAAGAAAAGAAAATAACACTAACAATACATATTAACTCAAGTTACATTATAAAAAAAGAAGTTATTTATCTAAGTATGGCGTGGTCCATCAAGACTTAAAAAGCCTTTTTTATAATTAATGCGTGGTATAGCAAATGGTTTAACTCTTTTACTTGCTTTTCTGGATAATTATAGAAAACCATATATTATCTTGCATAGAATAGTTATGGTAGCGGTGCCCAACTTTACACCATAAGCTTTACGCTCTTTAACTAGCGATAAATGAGTAAAACAGCAAAATGCTTAGGTTTTCAATATCTGATTTATGATTAGCCAAAATAAAAATTAATGAATGATAATATTATTTCAATAACTTTTAGATTATTTTTAAATAAAACCTATGTTTCAGCACAACGTATCGAGGAAAAATGGAATAACGTGAATTGGCAATGTGGTCACTGGTAGCATTATTTTCACTCATGTCTAGCATAAAAAAATTTAAATCAATCAATTATACTTTGAGTGTAAGCGAATGAATAATTTGTAGCCAAATTTAGTAATTATGGTGCAAATGTAATTGAACGACGGTACTGGGGTAGGTGCCTATATAATAATACTATATATCAGTAAAATATTATTTTTTCGGTCAGGATTTCGAGTACCACTCCGAGTTTTTTCTCCTGTGCGCGCTGCGGTGACCGTTCAGTTGTCTGTCATCCGTATCGGCTCTTGGACGACAGCGCAGACTTTTCCACCCCATTTATATAATATTATTGTGTACGGCCCGCGACATGGGCAATACGATACTAACAATAACGACTTAATATATTATTATCGTCATAACTCTATTGCCTGTGCAATACACATTATTTGGTATTATATTATATCATGATCCGACTAACCTAATATCAGGACGCATCTCGACCACATGTTCCAAGCGTGTCGTCCCTGGCAGAGTAGTGCTGGTGGCGGTGCGGACGATTAACGCACATAACAGACGCGAACCAGAGCGGACCGTAAGTATTTCGGGGCCCGCGGATACTGCGGCACTGCGTCGCGTCGTCGCGCGGGATCTCTTCTAGCCGCTGCCGCTGCCGCCGCCACCGCCGCCGCCGCCGCAAATCGTGGGAGTAAACGCCGCCCGCCCCCGCCCGCCGCACCGGTCCGTCGGGTTTCCAGTGCGTGCGATGACCGCGCGCTAGGTATATAGGTAGGTACCACACTATCGCCGCGACCGGACGGGAGTGGCGGTGGCGCGGTTGGCGAGAAGGAGAGAGAGAGTCGCCGTCGCTGCTTGTGTCTGTGCGAGCACCGGCTCCGAAAGAAAGTGAATCCCCCGGACGACCGTGGGCAAGGACGCCGAAGGTGACGTCACACACCGCACGAACCGTGTACATGTTGTTATTATCATAATAACAATGTGGTTGTGAATTTGTGATATTGTTTTCATTATTGGTTCCAAGTCTTAAGTTATCGGCATAGACAAGAAACGATAAGAAGTGAACTAGTGTGAAATCAATAAAAATGACTAAAAATGTCGAAAAATTACCTAAAACTGTCGAAAAAAGAAAAAAAGCCAAAAAATCCATATAAATGCAAAATAAAATTTAGTTTTTCAGATTCACATGCGCTAATGAAACACAATTGTGGCCAGGAGAGTATCGTCTAAAAAGTTTCCCAAAAAAAAAATGCAAAATGCCTCAACTTCCGAGCCCTAATTATTACAATAGAATATAACAATTATAACTGCGATGGTGACAATAATAGGGAATAGTGATAAAAATGTATATCATAAATAATGTATGCGTAGAAGGCGGTGACACGTCGTCGATTGTTTTGGTGGAAATACAGCGCAGTATATTAGATACTTACTACCTTTGCAGACAACTGCAGCTATGTCAGTAGGTATTATTTGAAATTTAAAGTTCTCGGTGGTATTCTATGGGTTCAAAGTTCTGAGCGGTATTCGAGTTTCAACGTTCCGGTTGGTATTAAAGTTTAAAAGTTTTTCTGTGGTATTCGAGTTTCGAAGTATCGGGTGCGTTTTGAGGAACGGCCAAAACAAATTGCGAAAATAAGTATTATGAGCAAGCGTTGTTTTCATCACATCTTGGTCTGTTTTTATATAAGCATACAGATTACTGCAGCTATAAGTGCATTTAAGATCCGCCAGCACTTGGCCTAATATGCAACGACTTTAGTGCTTTATTTTACTTAATATACTATCATAATTTTAAAGTTAAAATATGATGCATAACGAGATCTGGACCTGGCAAGTGATTATGAAATGATATCTCATGTACCTATATTATTTATTTTTAACAATTTTTAATTTCATAAAATGCGAACGGATCCATCTCGTTTATAGTTATGCACTAAAAATAAATTATTACAATTCGACGTTCACTGTTCGTGGATAATTAGGTACTATGTTCGCCCCATATATTTTTCAACTGTTTTACCGATGTATTTTTAATGGGGAATATTAACTCTACAAATGCATACATCGAATTATAAAATATTAATGTATTAGAAACAATTATAAAATAGATATAACAAAATTATTCCGGTACCATTTATTTCTGAATAATATCAATACTATAGTTACTGTTAAAGTCTGTTGATGAGTGACGGAGTGATCATTTAGAGTGGTCTATTCTTATGAGTTATGCTTATGACTAACATAAATTACACTTAGAACACATGTTCACTTTCCATATTTACTGTGTAACTAACCTATACGCATATGCGTATATTACATCGATTATTATTTTATTATTGTATATACCTAGGCACATTATTAAAACAAATATAACTTTCTTTTTCCTTCTTAGATAATTCATTGAGTAACATTTGGTACTTACTACTTGGTAGCTTACATTTATAACACATAAATTAAATGTATGCGATCAATACTTAATTAAGTACGTATGAAATATAAATACCAGTTAAAATGTACAGGTATTTATATCTATATATATATATAATTGTTTTAAATTTAATAAATTATAAACACGTTAAAAGTTTGAAGACTTCGATAGTTTTTTATTTTACTGTGTATATAATTCGAATATTTTTAAATTATTTAAAATTTAGTCAAATTTTTGAACTAGGAAACAAAAAATAAAACTATAAAATTTAATAGTACGAATTACGAATAAATTAGTTAACAATAACAGCCATTTTTTAAAATTTTTAATTATGACAACGTAATATAATATTTGTACATCTCTATAACAATAGCTGTTAGGTTAGTCAGCGTATTAATACACACTGCTCCCACCATGTAAAAATTGTTGTTGTTAACTGTTAATGAAATGTATTAAAGTCGAAGTTAATAAAATAGGTCTATTTTTTCATACTAAAAATATAACAATGCATTAGTATTAGATACATAATAGTTGCTATCCTGTGGTAATTTAAGAACAAATAAAAAGGTAAATATTAGGTATCTACGTAAAATATAAATTTAAATAAGGTATATAGATTAGAAATAATAATAAGTATATACTATTAATAGGTACAAAAATGAAAATATGGATTTATGTGCCCTTTATGTTTTTTAATAAAAAATTAAGTAATTTTAAACTATAAAAAAATATTATAGTAAATCCTTTATACTTTTTCCGTGTTTAACTGGTTTAACTGGTTTCACTTTTTATCGATATAAAATGTCTTTTTAATTTCCTTTATATTTTGCATGATTAATTTGACCACCAACTCTGGATTTTCTAATTACATTGTTGTATAATTCATATATTTTGTACATAATTTCATTTCTAAGTTGTAACATGACCTAACCTGAAGGACATGGAAAAAAGATAGTATACTGGAAAACCAATGTAGATTTTAAGTAATAAGTGTAGTAGTTTATTTTGAGTAAGACGCAATTGAAAATACATTCTATAAAAAAAAAATAATGTTGATTCAATTAAAGCAAATCCTTAAAAGATAAAAATATGAATATAATTTACACGCATTGATGTGTTTTTTAGTTTAAACATTTATTTCAAAATTATAAATAGATACATTTTCTGAATGAAATGTATATAACTTATTAATATTTTGTACATGACTAACGATAAACCACCATTATAATTCAAACATTTTTAAAAAAGTAGTCACACTTGTAATTCTTCAACTAGAATATTTATTTCTAAAGCATTTGAATAATATAAAATATTCATAAAATAGTTTATTCAAAAACTAAGTAACAGCATAAATATTGTTGTTTTAATTTAAAAAAAAAAAACAATTAATTTAAATAATTTTAGTTAATAACATAAATTATAGATTTTATAAATTAAAAAAATGCAATTAACTATTATATGAATATTTATTCACAGGGCTGTGGCCATTTATATTACTTAAATAAAATAAAATACAAGAATTCTATAAAAATTATAAATACAACAATCAATAAACTAATAAAAATTATATATTTCGTAGGAATGTAGGATACAATTAAACACTTTTTATGAATGTAAACAATCCTGACAATAACTCAAAGTAAATGTATAAAAAACTAAAAATATTAGGTTGCATTTAAAAAATTCTGTACGTTGTACAATTGTTCAAAAGAATTTTAATTGGAACTGTGAAAATATTACTTGGTTATAACTTTCTATAATAACTAAAATATAACTGTGGGTTGGATATTCTATTGTAATTATTTTTGTAAGTTATTAGCGTCAAGTTTTGTACACAAAAAAATTATCGTTTCAATACTAAAATAATATATGAAAATATAATTTTATATCAACATCATTATTATAACAATATAAGGCTGATGAACGTTCATCGTTCCCTTCGTTAGTGACCTTGTATCCAACCCCATAATATGCTTGTCAGGTAATAAAACCAAATGTTGTATGGAACGAAAACATCTCCGATAATATAAACCAGCCAGATGTAATATACCTACCAGTTATTTAAAATAAAAAATAATCTTATTGTGTAGACAGGTTATAACACTTCAAACCATCTTAACGTTAACCCTTTGTGATAGAAATAATCTTTTGTTAGTTTTGAAGCGTTTAAAATAATTCTGAAACCCCCCCATCAAGGAAACAAGAGTTAAATTCGACAATAAAACAAAATTGCTTTGTTTTGGATGTTAGCTGTCTTAAAGATAATTTATAAAATAACAATCATTATAATCTAAAAACTTATCTATAATTACATACAATAGATAAGAAATTAATTTAATTCTTTAATAATTGCACAGTCTTTTAATACACAAAATCTTCATCTGATCGATTTGTTTGTTCATCTTCTATCTTCAATCCTGAAAAAATGTATATGTGAAATAAAAGATATTAAAGTTCTGTTATACAATTTTGTATATTAACCTTGTTTATATTTGTTTTAAATTCCTAACTAATTATTATTTGTGTTCATTAAGAAAAAAAAAGTATTTGTTCAGTTTTTTTTTTAGTAAGACGTAATGCAGTTATAAAATTTATATTTTTGAGCAAATGTATTTTCATCTAACCTATACTTAAAGTGGTATAATACTACTTTCATTTCATGAGATTAAAATGTTTGTGTATCTAAAATGTTCCGTTTAACGTTGGTGATATCAAATAAATTATATTTTATTTTTATGATACTCTTGTCTAATCAGACATCTTGATATTTTTATCTTACGACTTATAGTATTGGATGTATGAAAATAAAACTTATAAAATCAAGTTGTGCTATTTCAATGCAAGCTTATAGCAGCGTTTATAATATGACATGTTTAATTCAGATAGGTATAATGTTGCGATTTTTTCCATCCCAAGCTCATTCGCTACCCGGAAATCAACAACAAGTTTTTACCTCTTGTTATCGGATATCCACATGGCGTACTCATTCACTGGCGTATAAATCAACGACCCTACGCCAACGCCAGTTTGGACGCCAGCCAGTTTACCGTCACACCACAGGCTGCTTCCCAGTCGCCCTTCTTGCTGCAAAAGTCAAACACAGTTTCATTTTAGGTAAGGTAGTAAGAAGAAAAATAATAAAATATCTATCAGAGGGCAAGGTTCAGAACAATTATATCGATTAGTGTAGTAATA